TGCGAAGCATTCTGAATATTTGATAATCATCTGCAAGCCTAGTCCGTCTGAAGCGTCTGCGTGCAGCGTCGCGTCTCTTCTGCAGATCCTTAATTTCCTGACACATCCAAGGAGCAGGACGATGACGGAAAGTGGAGGTTTTGAGAGGAGCGTGGGTATTGAGTATATTGAGAAGATTGGTGGTGAGAATATCAACCATGGTGTCGACAGAGGAGCAATGATATATTCCATTTAAATCCAATGTTACTAGATCAGGTAATATTTTTTCTCGAGTAAGGGTATCCAGTTGGCGGAAAGTGATAGTTCGAGGATGGATTGGAGGAGTGCGGATATTATACGTTATTTGTATCAGATCATGAGATGAAAGAAAGGATACTGGCACTTGAGAGGCGGAGAGGAGGTTTTGTGCTGAGTCGATGATGTAGAAGTCTAGCCAAGTGTCAGATCTGGTGGTGTGGTGGGTGGAGGAAAAAGGAACGATGAATAGGTGAAGTGAGAAAAACAGATTTTCTAAATAGGATTTGTCATTGGATTTTGAGAGGAAATTGGTATTGAGGTCACCGGAGATAATTATTCTGGGATAGAGGGGAACGAAGTTGAATAGAGTTGATTCGAAGGACGGGTCAAATGGCACGAGAGGAGGGCGATATACCACGGCGTAAAGGATAGGAGAAATATTACTGAGAATTTCTACTAAGAGATATTCTACATGAGGATGATCGGAAGATGGGGAGCAATCGAGGATTCGGGTCTTTAGGCTATTGTGGACAAACATGGCTACTCCACCGCCAGTCCGGTTTACCCGGTCATGACGGAGCAGGATGTAATTCGGCAAGGATACTGAAGATGATGGAATATAAGGTTTAAGCCAGGTTTCGGATATTGCTATGATATGATAAAAGTTTTGGGTAAAGTATTGCAGGAATTCGTCATAATGGGCAGAAAGTGATTGAGAGTTAACTTGACATGTGATTAGGGAACTAGACATACAGTGGATTTGGAGAGAAACAGTCAGTGTTTGGTAGCGAGAAGACAAAACGAGTAGAAAGTACAGAAAAGCGATTATCGTACATAAAACTAAATGAAGAAAAAGTAATATTAACATTAAAAATAAATAAAGAGAATGTACTTAAAAATAAATAGATTGGTGAGTGACGGTGTCGAGATAGCACTAAGAGAAGAAGTAAGACTATTTTAATGAGGCTAAGGGGTTGACGGCTTCTAGGTAGTCAGTCAAATACATCTAGATCCGAGGCCTGTTCTATCAGGATGACTCTATGTCCGTCCTCTTTTCGACACCGCACCTTTCCGGAAGCAAACCACGTATATTTGATTTTTCCCGCCGCTCTCTTCTGCCGGGCTAACCAATAGAGGTGTCTGTTTGTGCGAGTCATCTCTTCACCCAGATAAATTCGGTGGCAGTCATTTTCCTGCCAACCGATATCCCGCGTGGAGAAATCCCTCTTCACTTTCCTTTTCGTAATTAAGTCATCTCTAATTGATTGCCTGACAAAACGTGCGATAACAGGCGGTGGTCGCGAGTCATCTTTTCGGCTTCTGCGGCGATGTACGTTGTCCAGGTCCTCCACACTAAGCCTGATCCCCAAGCTTGCTCCTATACTGGTCACCAAAGCAGCGGGCGTTTCGCCCGGTCGCTCCGGTATACCGCGGATCTCCAGTGATCTACTCAATAGTCCTTGCTCTGCGTTATTCAAGCGAACCTCTAATTCGCCCACTCGGGATTTGAGTGCTTTATTTTCTAATAGTATCTCCTCAAATTTTTTAGCTTGACCTTCCAGATGTTTTTCAATCTTCGTCAGTCTTTCGTTTAGTTCAAAACTGAGCTCTCCGTATTTATCTAGTGCTGTTTTCATGTTTTTAATATCTTCGTTCACGGTAGCGTCTAAACGGTTTACTGCCGCAAGTATTTCTGAGGGGGACGGCTCGTTATTTTGTTTTTTCACCTGTTCGCAGTTAGAGCAAACCCATGTTTTTTTAATTATTTTTACTGCTTCGGAGTCTTTATCAGTAAGGTTGACGCACCTACCATGAAAAATTATTTTACACTTAACGCAGTGTATATTGTTCTTATCTTCGCGTGCGATAGAGTTGTTGCAAATATTACACTGCACCATTTTTTAAATTTATTAATGAGAATTACTTCGCAATTAAAATATAAATAAATACCAAGACTGTTGACGGTAGTAAACAACGTCTAATGCTGGTCTAATGCTGTTAGGATTAGTAGACGCCTGCCAGCTCGTTGCTCCCAGAACTCTATCAATCTCGCTGTGCTTTCTTTACTCCGATTGGTGTGAAGATCCGACACTTAATAGCGTGATTAATTATAGTGGTTTTTTGAAAAAGAGAAAAGGAAAAAAAAAACTGAACTTAACTGCACTGAAATATAATTGAAGTAAACTGAGAGATTATATGAACGAATTACACCGATGTACACACCAGGGCGTCTCAGGCCAGACTGATATATAATATATAATATATAATATTATATATTATATAATATATAATATATAATATATTCGGTATCTATCTTTTTTTTTTTTTTTTTTGTTCTTCCCTACCTCGCCTTTTAGGCTATACGGGATTTTCCCGGGCCGGGGGGTGAGGGCGAGGAATTTTAAATTCCCTCCGGCACCGGGACGCGAACTCGTACTTTTTATATCATCTCAAATCTCTGTTATCCGGTTGCCTGGCAACTAGCGGTGCTGTGCACACGCTTTAGCCTATTCGGCCACCCCGCCCCCGTTCGGTATCTATCTGTCTGTCTGTAGTCAAATCTTTTTATTTTATTTTATTTTTTTTCTGTTCTTCCCTACCTCCCCTTTTAGGCTATACAGGATTTTCCCGGGCCGGAGGGTGAGAGCGGGGAATTTAAAATCCCCTTCGGCACCGGGACACGAACTCGTACTAAATCTTCTCAAATCTGTAAACTGGTTGCCAGGCAAATAGCGGTCTGTGGAAAAGCTTTAGCCCATTCGGCCACCCCGCCCCCTATGCCGCTGTAGTCAAATCGATGTAACGGGCATATCACCTACTACTGTTTATCCGATTTTCATGAAATTTGCAGGAATTGTGCGGGTTAGTGTTTAGATGGTCCCATGACAATTTTATTAAATTCTACTTCCGCACTTCCGCTTACGCAGGAGCAAACGCATTTTTGTAGATATGCCAATATTTCAGAAACTGCTCATTCAGTTTGGCTCAAAGTTGGATAAAAGGTATCTATTTGTGAAAAAATAATGTATATAATCTGTAAAAAATAATTTTATTGAATTCTGTCCATTGCTTTCTGCTATATATGAGCAAACGTGTTTTCCTTGATACGTCTATATCTGTAAAAGCGCAAGATCGATTTGACTCAAATTTGGAGGGAATTCTGGAATTGATAAACATAAAATGAAATGGGCATCAATTTTCTTAAATTCTATCCACTACTAAAAAAAAAATACTTCCGCTTTCAGATCAGGAAATTTGTTATTTGATATGCCTATAGTTTGAAAACGGCGCATTCGATTTGACCAAACTTGGAGGATATTTCGAGAACAGTATAGAAATTACTTAGTATCAATTTCATTGAATTCTATTTAATAATAAATATTAATACAAATAATTGTTAACAATATAATGTCTGTGAAATATTGAAGGCACTGATCATATGTAGTGGGAGTTAGATTATTACAATATTGTTATGTGGTTATCATGTTCATATAAGGTTTTATTAAAAAAATAATTGATAATGTGTTGTTTGGTCGATTCCAAAAGTTACAGGCATGACACTTACTGCCGTTACTTAGATTCCGTGTAATTTTGAATAAATTTAAAGTAATCTTTACTCAGAATTTGTAAAAAAAAAGTCTTATTTATGATTGTGTTTATTTCTATTGAAGTTCAACCAGTTCAACTTGGTCTCGATTTCCTCATTAAATATCGAAGTTGTGTTAACTTCACCCATATTTGTTTTATTTAAGCTTAATTAGTTTTATTCTGACTAAAAAAAAATTATTGTTCTCTGTAACTCCAAACAAACAACAAGTTGAAACTTTCCTTTGGATTTTCAAGTTCCATAAATTTTACGGGTGAAAACATACCTATTAAGTACATATCACAAATATTAGTGCAAAAGGTCGTATGTAAAAATTTTCAACTTTTATTCTATTTGTGCTAAAGGTGACATTTTGTAGTCTGCAACTGATATAAGTAGTCTGCTACTATGGAAAGAAGCAGAGGACAAAAAAGAATATGAAAGTAAACCAATAAACCAAAGAAATAATGAGTTTTTTCATGCGACCTTTTGCACTATCAGTAGTGAGATGCATGTTCAGTATGCATTGGGATTTTTTTTAAATTAAGAATAATCAATATAGAATCTTCAAATGCGGCCCTCTTTCGGATTTTAATATTAGCTGATAAACGAAATTCGTGGATATCGAATCTGCTGAATGGTCGCTGTATTTCCGAATCGGCTTGTCCCAGAGATTTTATTCTGATACGAAAGATTGTATACCTTAATTAGAGAGTTGCTTGACCATACATTAAATAATATGAATTAAATTATTATAGTTTGGTATAGTAAGCGAAATTATAATTAAGCCACTTCTCTCAAAGAGATTTCCCACTATTGAATATTTTCTTCAGGAATATCGATGTCAAAACAAGTTATGTAAAATTATGCGACTTTTTAAATATAATATTTAATATTAACATTGTTGTCACTTAATAGTAACATGATCGAATACAGTTCAGGATGAGGAAAAATAATGTTTTTTTTCATTAATGAAACATTTACACTGTACAATATATTTAGTATTTTATGTATGATTTTTCAATCATAACAATATTTCAAAAAATTTGTTTTCGATGGTTTCGTTTCAATTCATTCATCACAGAAATTTCGTTCTTCTTTACTTTTTATTAAGTGCTTATGATTACTTTATCTTAAAAATAATTAACATTTAGTAATGACATATTTATTGTTTCAGAAACTCCAAAAATTGATTTATGAATAAGGCGTTTCTTAGTTGCACCATCGATTGTAAAACAACTCGAGGAACACAAATACAACTGATTCATATTTTACATTGTTATTTTTTTCTATTTTTTAACCCTTGATAACTTTTCCAATTTCCGAATCTTGTCAATGCACCACCACATTTTGCAGAGGTTTTATTTTTAAAAAACTTATTTTCCTAAAAAAGAAACTGTTAAAATGGAATAAAATGTTCAATCTCTAATATTTTGTAATATAAACCCTCAGTGGAGAAGCTTAAGAAAAAAAAAAAAAAAAAAAAAATATATATATATATATATATATATATATATATATTATATATATATATATATATATATATATATAGAGAGAGAGAGAGAGAGAGAGAGAGAGATAATATATTGCTAGTGTATTCATTTAGTTTAGCTGATATACCATAGATCATGTAAATTAGAAATGTGCAAATTCTAAATTTATTTTAGAACTTACATAATTATTCTATTTATATCCTAATTAATTTCATACTTTTACGAAAATTCTGCTTTTCGATATAGAATTAAATATTAATTTACTTGTTAAAAAAAATATTGTAGAAGTAGTGTCATTATCTTTACAAAAAAAAATTCCATTTGAATGTCCTAATAAAAACCATAAATATAAACCATACGTCCATATGGGCTTGAGTTGGTAAGTGTATGTATTGAGTTTTTGTCTGATTTTCAATTTTGATTTGGAAAAAAGTGAGTACAGTATTTTCAGTCGCTTGTTTAAGGGCTGTCGTTTCATTTTGACGTGTGGACTCCAGGTCATCCTTCTGTCGAATATTAGTCCCAGGTAACATACTGTATTTGTCTGATGAAGTGGGAATGATAAATAAATAGTTAATTACAAAATTCTTAAATTAAGCTAATAATGTATATAACTATAATTAATATAATGACAAATAAATAATAATAATGCAACAAATTTTCAATTGCTATCCAGTTGAGGCCGGTGTTCCTCAAGATAGCCTCTTGAGTCCCGTTATATATATCCTCTTTACCGCTGATATTCCTATCATTCGAATGCAGTGGATCTAGGTCTGTAATGTCATCAGAGGAAAAAATGTATGTTCTGTTTATTTCTGCATTTTAATGTACCATTATGCAACCTTATTTAAATATATTTAGATAACGAAAATAACATTTATATTTTATTACTGTTATTATTAATTTATTTTTTTTTTAACTATGAAGCTTTGTCAATCAATCGTAGAAACATATTTTATTCTATTTATTTTTTCTTTACCACTCTGCATTTGTTGTAAGTATATGGCATAATATGAAGTTTTTTTTTTATATACTTTATTCTTTTGGTCTGTAGGCATGAAACGATTTGTAGTTTTCTGTAAACAGTTGTTAAGGAACTCTGTCCCCAGATAAAGTTTTTTTTTTCTATTTCGAACATAAGATGCGTTATTTTCATCACAAGAGATGTGAAATTTGTACCGATAAGCGAAGAAAATAATATAATACAAATTTTCTGTTGAAGTAAATTATATTGACTCCCAACTTTAAATCATGCCAAAAGTTAGAAAGTAAGTTCTCAAAACTAATATATTAAAAGTGTTAATAAAATAAGATAGATTTAGTTTTATTGAGAGAATTTCTTCCTACCATATTTGGCCACTATATTATTAACAACAATTTTCTTAATTTTAATTATCAAATAGAATTCAACGAAATTGGTTCTGGATAATTTAAAAACTATTCTCTAAATTTTCTCCAAGTTTGGGTAAAATGGAACAAACTGTTTTCAAACTATTCTCGTATCAAATGATACGTTTACTGATCCAGAACTTTTACTGAACTTACACCCAGCCTCCAGGAATTGAAAATATTTAAAATTTCCCTGAGTTGCCAAAACAAACTATCCATTTAAGACAACAAGAACCAACTACTTCATCTGAAATCGCCCATCATCATCAGCATTTCTTTTAGGATAGTGGATAGTATTAGGTAAAATTTACTAATAATTAATTACTAGAATTAGGTAAAAAACTTACTAAATTATCCGTTTACTTACTACTTGCTAACAAACCTTTCTTTTAACCTTGATTCAAATGGAAGGAGCCGTTTCTGGAATATTGGAATATCTAAGAAGCGGTAACAAGTGCTTAATGGAATTTGATAAAATTGATATGGGACCATTTTGGCACCAACCTGCACAAGCCCTCAAAATTTCACAACAATCAGGTAAACGGTAGTAGATGAGTAGATGATACGCCCTTTACGTCGATTTGACCTCAGACTGACAGACGCAGAACCAAATTTGATCCTTAACGTCTGAAACTTGCAACGTAAGTGGAAATATTCGATCCTAAGCACAAATTTCTATTTTGACCTCTCGCACGAATACACAGCATATATATCTTCAGTAGTGAGGAAGGCAAAATAAACAAATAGGTACCTACATACGCTATTTACAATTAGGCGATGGTACTCCGATCTTCTGTTAGCCTCTGGATTGAACAATTATTTTAAAGAATTGGGAGTGGATTCTTTGGTTTAAAGGATTTTATCCTGTATGATGGGGGAGAGAGTGGAGGTTGTCTGGTTAATTCCCTATTTAACGTCTTCTTCTTTCCATATTTATGTTATTCTGATCTTAAGGGTTTGTGAAATGTATCATAGATAAGGGAGGGTTTGCCGAGCAGCCTAATGCGTGTGCAAAACATGCGTCGTCCGGAGCAACATGTGATAAAGTTCTCTACATTCTGTTAGACACTCATGACTTGATTGGAGAAGCTGGCCATTGCCAGGACTCCAATCACGAGTTTACAAAAGATCTCGAGGCCACTGCCGTTTCCACCTTCGAGGAGGATTGAAGAGATGCCTAGAACTGGACAAGGATTGTGCTAAGCGATTAGGATGATGTCTAAGGTTTTGATGTACATTTGTGAATCGGGATGGAATTAGGTCAAGGACATAGGGGATGCTAAGGTCATGATGTAGATTCTTATTTCTAACATACGAAGGAGCATTGTCTATTGTACGAAGGACTTTAGCTTGGAAGAATTTCTTTTTTTTTTTTTATTTATTTAGACATATAATATTCTGTCACAGGGACAATAATTATATTGATAAATGAACATATTCACACCGTATATACAAAAAAGAAACAAAATTAACAAAAGTAAAATAATAACTAAATAATAATAAATAAAAACTATATACAATAAAAAAATAAAATAACCTAAATATAAGTAAATTAAAAACATAAAAATACAGTCATACTTATATACAATATATACAATCAGGCGGGGAACCCAAATCCCTGCGCTACTCTCTCAACCGCCTCACTGGTGCTAAAGCCGGTGGAGTTTGATTGAGATCGCTTTAGCCACATACACTCATGTCTTGAGTGGAGAATCTGGCCATTGCCAGAACTCCAAAATAAATACTAAAAAAGATCTCTTGGCCACTGCCACTTCAACCTTCCAGGAGGGTTGTAGGGATGAGTGGAACTAGATAGGGACTGGGCTAGGGGATTTGGATGATTGATAAGGTTCTGATGGAATTTTGAAAATTTTTCAGGGATAAGGTCAAGAACAAATGGGTTATTAAGGTCATGATGTAGGGTTTTGTTGGTTACATAGAACGGAGCATCGATTATTGTTCGGAGGACTTTGGATTGAAAGGATTGGATGCGTTTGATGTTAGAGAATTTTGCTGTCCCCTAAAGTTCAAATACGTAGGTCCAAATTGGTTTCAGGATTGTCTTGTAGATCAGTAATTTGTTGTCAATTGAAAGTTGAGATTTTCTGGTCAGTAGTCTGTATAATTGGTCGTATCGTCGGTTAAGTTCTTGTCTTTTAAGTCTAGTATGTGGGTTCCACGTTAGTCTTCGGTCTAAGATAAAGTCAAGATACCGGACTGTGGCTGAAAAAGGAAGCTGGATGGAATTAAAGTGGACTGATGGACAGGATCTGCGGCGGAGTGTGAAGGTAATGTGTTTGCATTTGGATTTGTTTACTTTGATGCGCCATTTATTACACCAGTGCTCAATCATAGAGAGGTGCCTTTGAATATTTAAAGATGCTATTTCGGGATCTGAGTTGGATGATAGGATGGCGGTGTCATCAGCAAATGTTGCCAGGAAGGTATTGGGATGGACAGGGATATCGGCGGTGAAAAGGATGTAAAGGACTGGGCCCAAGACGCTACCTTGAGGAACACCGGCATTGGAAGGATCAGATACGTCCAGATGGGTTTTAGTATGGTCTTGAAATAATAATTCGTTTTCTATTGAGAGATTAGAGTTTGTGTTAAGTAGTCTATATAATTGGCCAAATCGTTGGTTAAGATCTTTTGTCTAAAAGGAATCCAAGATACCGAACTGTATCTGAGATAGGAAGAGATACAGAGTTGAAAAGGAGGGGTGAAGAGGATCTTCGTCGGAGGGTATAGGTTACATGCTTGCATTTGGATTCATTAATTCGTCTGCGCCAATACTTGCACTACTGCTCTATTAGGGAGATGTTTCTCTGTCGATTTAGAGATGCTGTTTCAGGGTCAGGGTAGGAGGACAGGATGAAGGTGTCGTCAGCAAATTTTGCTAGAAGGATATAGGTTGAGATGTAGAGAACTGGGCCCAAGACACTGCCTTGTGGAATACCAGCTTCAACTGGATAATTATTGGAGAATTCAGTGTCGTAGCGGACTTGAAAGGAACAGTTGGAGGGATAGGATTAGAGGACTAGGTAATAAGAATTGGGATAAATGGGTTTTGAGCTTGAAAAGCAAGCCATCGTGCCACACTCGGTCGAAAGCTTGCGCTACGTCCAGGAAGGCACCAGAGCAATATTGCTTGTTTTCAAGCGCAGATGATATATCACGTCACGAACAACACGAAGGCCTTGTTGAACAATGTCTTGAATGGAATCAAGCTGGTGGGAAGGGATATTGTGGGATTCGAATATGAGTGGCACGCTTTTGAGGTTGATTTTTTCAAAGAGTTTTGAGAGGATCGGAGTAAGCTTCTTAATCTATGGGATGAGGTGTTACAGGTTTGCCAGCTTTAGGGAAGAGGATAATAATGGAGTGTTTCCACATCAGAGGAAAA